CCCACCCCCACCCCCCCCCCCACCCCCCCCCCCCCCCGCCCCCCCCCCCCCCCCCCCCCCCCCCCCCCCCCCCCCCCCCCCCCCCCATGATTGTAGGAAGAGTGTTTTCTGGCTAATGTTGTCCCCAGGCCGACAAAGACACAACTCCACTACCTTAAGGCCAGTCATGTAATAGATCTGTGGATCTGCGTCCAGGCGGGCTTTGAGTCTGGAGATGTGGGTCCGTGGTTGGGAAGCTGTGGTGGGAAGGCTTTGGCTTGAGGCCCTGTGAGATAGCACAGTTGATTCGAGGCCACAGATTAAAGGCTGTGGACGTGGATCCACTTTGGACATACGTCCACGGCTCCAAATCTAGGTGGGCTTTATAACTGTCAACTAGCGGCCACCCTGGCTTAGTGGCTATAAGGGTCTTCGGTCTTCTGACTACAGTCTATATGGGTCACAGGTATTTTAGTCTAGATCTCAAGTGTATTATTTATCGCCTACTACCGGCGTTTAGTCGGCCGATCATAATCACTATCAGCTTCAATTACTCAGGCGATCAAATTCACCGCCTCTTCACTCACAACCAGATCGTCGCCGAATATCATAAATATCGTGTTCGTGCCATCCTCAATAGCCATATCAAAGCACTGCCCCGGTAGGACCTACCGTAGATTCTAGTCATAAAATATTACCTAACGTTCTCGCGCGTTTTTAGACACCATTCGCCTAATAGAAGAGGGGTCAGAAGGATCAACCACCATTTAGCAGACCAAGCGATTCCAATCGCCGTATTCATCACATACACGGAACATGATTATCACTACAGAATACTTGGCTACATCGCTCACTCCTTCTCCTCGCTCACAAGACTCATCTTATTCCCTAGGCATCTTATCTAACCTAGCTATTTCTATTCGTATACATATATCGGTCTACACAGGAGACTCTGGTAACAACGAGGGGCGCTCTACCAGAGTATCCTTCTACATAACATCAGCTATAACCTAAACCTACGGCAAAGCGTCTAGCTATATAGACTCCAACAACTATTCTTCCTATTCCAACCAGATATTCCTCATTCCATAATATTCTAAGTTTTAATCAATCAAGCTCGAAATTTCTAGCTGTGGTTTAAACTTAACTGAGTCTAACAGAAAAACGGTGGTAAGGCGAATGTATATATGGCAGAAAGATCTCAATCAATTCTCTAACTCTCTAAAACTAACAATAGTCCTAAAATATAATAATCTGATAGATAACTTAGTAATTAAAATAAATAAAATAAAAGAAAGGATGTTTTTCGGGCGAAAAACTATAGGACTAGTTTTTTGGGTAGAAAACCTTCTAAGTTAGTTTTTCTATAGAAAAACTAGCCTAGTTAGTTATATAACCTAACTATATTAGGGATAAAAAATGATAGTATTTATCCTAGATTCTAATATACCCCCTAGCTTTTAAAGTAATTATAATTTAGAGCTTTAAGAGCTATCTTAATTAATAAAATTCTCTTTAATATCTACTTTTATAACTAATTAGATAACTAATCTTAGATATTCTAAGTAATTCCTTAAACTATTCTTATTTTTAGTAAGGTAAAGCTTTTATTAGACTATTAGTAGGTATTTCTATAATTAGAATCTAATCTATATTAACCTATCTAATATTAACTTCTTATTTTAACTAGTATCTATTAATATCTATATAGTAAAGTTTTATATATATTAATACTCTTTCCTTTATTAATAAATTAATAGTCTATTAGTTATTATATATAATTAAGAGTATATATAATAGTTTAAATCCTAGTATATAAAGGACTTAGTACTATTATTAGACTATTTTTCTAGCTTTAGTAAGTATTAGAAGCTTAGCTTTAATAGTTAAAGTAGTAACTATCTTTTATTTAAATACTTTCTAGTTAATTAGACTACTATAAAGTTTATAAATATATCTTTCTAAACTTTTTTAGTCTTTATTATTATTAAATAATATATTATTAGTAAAAACTACTAATTTAACTACTAATTATATTATTAATATCTTATTTATTAGGTTATTTCTTCTAATCTTATATTTAATAACCTAAAACCTAGTCTAATATAGGTATTAGATAATATAGTTAATAGTATTAATATATTTAGGACTAGGGTTTAGTAGGAATTTAGCTACTTTTCCTATTACTTTTATAATATCTAGTCTTAAGATAGTAGTTATATATTATATAAATCTAACTTTAGCCTAATATCTATAGATTTAGCTTAATATAGTAATTCTATTAAATAGTTCTAATAGCTTAATACTTATTAGAGAATTAACTTTTCGGCTAATAATTAGATTATATTTTAATACTATACTTTTAATATAGCTATTTTAATATAGTTAAAGCTTCTTCTAATCTCTATCTTATAAAATATAGATATTAAGAAACTAGCTAGTATCTAGAATTAATCTTAGTTTAATAAGGATATATATTACTTCTTATTACTATAGCCTTAGTACTATTCTTAGACTATATAATACTTTATATAGTATCTAATATTTATTTAAAATTTTAAATCTTAGTAGGTAATGTATTTCATAAGCGAGCGGTATATATAAGCGAGTGGCGTACCCTACCCAAAACGCGTCTATGAATTACCACTTAGTCAATTCAACTACCTACTATACCACTAATTCGCCCCTAATCATCTATAAACTTAGTAGAATAAGAGGGTAGGGTCTTACTAGCTATCTAGGCTTTTAAGAATAGAGAAATCTCTTCAATTTATTAAGTAGTGTACCTTTTTAAGGTATTAGATACTATATTATACCGCCGCCTATATAGTATTTAATAATACATAACTTCTTATACTAACTTATATAAATTGATAATAATTAAAGAGGAATTACTTTAAAAATGGATTATCTCTATAGATTCTTATAGATTAGCCCCTCGGCCTTCTTTAGTATAAGAAATAGCGAATCTTCTCCTTAAATAATATAGAACTACCCTAGTCCTTTTAGTTAGTAAAAATTAGGTTACAAATTTTATTAAACGGTACCCTATACTCTTATCCTAATTCTTAAGATAGTATAATTACAAGTACGCGAAGTATAAAGACCTAAAAGTAATTAGAGAGTGGTTTAATCTTATTTAAAAGACTATCCTTTAATTTAGAATCGACCCTAATAATATTTATAACTTTAATAAGACTAGTTTTACTATAAGATTAACTATAATAGTAAAGGTTATTATAAGAAGTAAATACTATAGTTAGAGATTACTTTTATAACCTAGAAATTATAAGAAGTAAATACTATAGTTAGAGATTACTTTTATAACCTAGAAATTATAAGTAGGTAACTATAATTAAATATATAAATACTTCTAGGTAGATACTCCCTCTATATATAATCTTTAAGGGTAAAGTCTTTATTAAATCTTAGTTTAATAAGCTTCTAAATAATTAGTATTTTAAAGTTAGTCTAAATAGTTAGATTTCTAATAAAATTAGGCTTTACTAGCTTTAAAAGCTCTTTATTCCTTTAACTTCTTTATATATAAAGGGAAGGTATCGACTTTTAGTATTTAATAGCTATAAAAGCTATTTAATACTAAAGTTTAATAAAATTTATAAGTAAAATAATATTATACTAATTTATATACTACTATATTCCTCTTACCTTTTATAACTACTTAATATCGGCTGTTTTATAGTCTTAAAGTAGTTATATAGTTAGTTAATTAAAATAAAAATATAGAATAGGATTAACTATATTAATAAACTTAACTTCTTTAAAGTATATCCCTTTATATAAATTAAAGCTTTTAAATTAGAGATAATTAAAAATAGCTTCTTAGTAGC